GTTCACCTGCTTGCTGTGTCGACGTTTTAATAGAAAAGTCTAGATGTGCTTCAATCAACTAGAAATGCTAGAAGAATATATATGAAACGTGAAAACGGATCTGAGAACATCAAATGCAACTTCTTTTGCTTCAATGCAGATTAAACTAATTTCATAAATTCATTCGTAAAAGTTCCCAGGATGCTTGCAAAGCAGAACAGGATTGTCCTGTTCTTACACTTGCCATTTGTGTAGGTGTGTAGGTATATCTGATATCTTTTTGCAGGTGAATCGGGCTTTGCTACTTTAGAGCAGTCCGTCAATCCAAGGCAGTATGCGTTCAAGCAGACTGCAATGTTTCCTTGGCAGTGCCAGCCTCGCGGACGGCGTTGGCGACACGGGTAGCAAGGTCGTCCGCCTCGGAGCGGCTTGCTGCCTCGGCATAGACACGCACCGCATCTTCCGTGCCACTTGCACGGGCAAAGCTTCTGCCCTTGTTGTAGCGGGACTGGAGGGACTCAATCTTGGCCTGGAGGCCTGGGGGCGACTCGAGCTTGCGCTCGGCATCGTAAGCCTTGAAGATGGAGCGGTCTGCAACCTCCACGCGGACAAGTCGCGAGGGAAGGTCGGTGTAAGTAGCAAGCCATTCCTTGGGGCTCCAGCCCTTGTGAGCAAGAATAGCTTCGACCAGGAGCATGTCGGAGATGGCATCACCGACCGCCTGGTTGATCAGGTCAGTAAGAGCCTGGAGGCACTCAAGGGAGCGCTGCTGGGCAGGAGACTGGGGCTCAGTATTCTTAATGGTCTTCAAGGCGGTCTCGGAGAAAGTAATGGTACCGTGACCGTTAGCCTCGAAGTAGACGCCAACGTCGAAGCGCAGGGCCGCATGGTGCAGATGCTTGACACCAGTGTTGGTGCAAACAGAAGGCAACTTCAGGACCTTCTCGATGTAGTCCGTGCTGGAACCATTGGCGTAAGCGGTCTGGACGACGCCGATCTTGAGCTTCTGCGCAATTCCAGCGCTCCGCGCAAGATCGCCGATGAAGGAGGCCGCAAGGGTGGCAATGCGGTCACCGTCAAGCAATCTGAAAGTGTTGCTCTCGTCAATGAAGTAGTACACGATACGATCGGCGTCACCATCCAGCGAGGCACAGCGGTCAAGAGCAGCTGCCTTGGAGGAAGGCGGGGCACGTTGTTTCGTTTTGACATAATCGGCACCACACTAGAAGCCAGTCAGTATGACAGATGGAAAGCAGGCTGGACAGGGGGGGTTTCGGACTTCAAAGTTCAAGCTATCAGGGTTAATGACATCATCATTAACTATCTTGATATCCATGCCACCCTCCTCTGGGCCGGGCAGGTACTTGATGAGCTCCCTCAGCTTGGGCCCACCAACACCGTTCGCGCAGTCCACGGTCAACGAGCCCTTGACCTTAACACCACGCATAACTCTCTTGAAAGCTTCGGCAAGCTTCTCATAGTAGCCCTGCTCTGTGGGCTCGCCATACTCATACTGGGTGCCCAAAGTGTTCTTGCAGCGCACAACATAGTGAAGCTGAGGGGTGGTCATGTACTTCAGATCACTGAATTCGACCTCCGAAGCGGTAAGGGCGGCATTGATGACAGAGACTAGACGCGAGCCAGAGGCACGAGTGTCGCGAGCGAAGACGACACGAGCGGGGTTCTCCATGCTGACATCAATCTCCTTGATGAGTTCGTCAAAGACATCACCGACCTTGTCAAGCGGGGCATTGGCAAGTCTGGTGGCATAAGTTTCCCACTCAGCCTACAGCGATGTGAGAAAGTCGTCGCATTTCAGTATCCTACAGCTCCGGGAGCTTACCTCCAACATTTCACCCTATACAGTATTAGCCACTTATCATGTCATTGCACATACTCCAAGCTGGCGAGGTTCACAGCGGACTCACCATGGGATCAATCAACTTGACGCCATTATCTTCCGCGGGGTTGTGACTGGCAGTGACCATGACACCAACCCATTGTCCACTAAGCTTTCTGGAACGAAGCCCAGCAAGCAAGCCCACGGTGAAGACTACGGTGTTGAGGAGATCACTGGCAAAGCGTTGGTCAAAGTGTAAACAAAAGGGCGGTCGCGGGGTATTGTGGAGGCGGGGTCGATCCTTCGAGGTGTTTATCGGCAGGGGAGCAACTTACGCCTTCATACGGAACTGCAAGTAAGGGAGGTAATTAGTACATCTTGTTTCATATCTGAAAGAGTCGGAGTTCATGGAGTAACGAACTCACCCCCGCGGTACCATATTGAAAGACCTTCCCTTCGGGCTTGGAGTACTGCGACGCCGCTTCAGCGATCGCCTTTCTGATAGCCGGGGACGCCATTGTGGCGCAAACTAAACCAAGGATAAGTTGACTAGCACCAAAAGGACTTGGATAACTGAGACCTCAGGGGGTCAGAGAACATATAATATTGAAGCGAAAGGGGGGGTAGAACCACAATAAAAAAAAAAAAAAAAAACGAGAGAGGGGGAGGGTCAAATAAAAGATTGGGTGAGACACGCTCCGTCCAGCTCAGGTTTAGTTTCCTGCCCCTGTTCCCCTGTTACTGCCTACGTACTCAGGGTCCCGAGCGGTGGGCGGTGAGGCAACCCAACAATTCATGGCATGGTGTGGTGCAATGCAGAAGCGGGAGGAATGGAGTCGAAGCATTGCATGGCACGGCATGTCTATTCACCTCTCTCTTTTGTCTTGATTAGACTTGGTATTCAATGAAGAATAACTATAGCAAAAAAAATCGCCCATAATAAATACTAGGAATGCCCAACTTTATTGGCTGATTACCTGGCGCGGTTGGTTGAAAACTACTACTCTATCATATAATACAAGCTACTACTATCCGATCACCTGCACTGGTGATACGAAGCTAGACCAATAGACCGGGTGATAAATGGTCATGCGTGTCCAGATACTTCGGATCAAGCCATTGAGCTGAATCAGGCTTTCAGCCTATCGCCCGCCACATCGTTTTGGACATCCTTGATGAGAAACCTATCGCAATTGTCAGCCGCGTAGTAAACCTATGGTCAGATTCCAGCATAAACTCACAAGTACCACCAAGCAGTCGGGATCACAGTTCCAAGGTGCCAAAGGCTATGCGCATCAATCAGCTCGTGCCAAGGGGGAAAGTCCAGCAACTCGAGGCTCATAGCCAAAATAATCCACACCACGATCATTCCGGGCCAGGCCATCCATTCCTTGCCGTATTTGCGATAGCGGTGAATACTGAAGGCCACCCATAGGATGTTCTGGGCCATGCCTATCACAATGTTTGCGATCATGTTGTATGTGTAGTCCCATGACCAGAAGCTGAGGTAGCACACATGCAATGTGTAGAGCAGAGCACAGACCGTGGTCAACAGACGACGTAAAGTTGGTTTGTGTCTAGGCTTCTCCTGGTCCAGACGGAAGATCCGAAGAAGTGCAAGGTAGAACCCATACATGACATTAGCCCCCGCTCCAAAGTAATCCAATTTCTCGGTCAAGGACAAGTCCCTCATGTGGAAAACCGCGCTGAAGGTCCAGCATGCCAAACCGCAGTATCCGAAGGCAATGTAATAGGGCCGCAGGGAGTGCCAAGCTGGTACCGTCTCACGAATGCGTCCAATCCCATGCCAGTGGGCAAGGAAGTTGAACAAAGAGAAGAGAACGGAAAATGGTTCCTGCATCCCCAGGATTCTGCGGAATGGCCATTTACCATGGAATTGTAATACTGGGTTCAACATGGGAGGATCACGAGCGACACGGCGGTCCGTCACGACATGTTGACAGGTATAATCGCATTCGGAAGGGCATGTCCACAGCATGAGGCGAAGATGGAGAGCTGGTAGCCAATTGGTTAGTAGCCAAGCTGGCGGAGAGCAATGCTTATAAAACTCACGAATTACTTCATTGCCATCCTGGCAATTCTCAGCCTGGCAAACCTGTTCGTTGCTTAGCCATTGGCTCCCGGGTTGTGGATGCTATGAGGTTCCGGTTGATGTACCTTAACGCATTCTTTGAAGTCGGGAAGGTGGTCACCAAGAGAGGCTGTCGATTTACCGATGAGAGCGGCAATGAGAAGGAAAAGGAAGCAGCAGTAAGTACTCCTCCTTATCGTTCCTATAAACATGGTGCTTTTCGTGGTTGTTGTATGGCACTCTAGTTGAGAAGGGAAGCTTCAGGAGTGAAACTAACAGCTTAGACGCTAGACGGGCGGCGTGTAGCTCCGGCGGGGGCGGAGCGGCATCGCGCACGGCAACAATGGAACAGCAGCTTGGCAACGCCTTCTAAGGCATCCATTCTCCTTACACTATAGGTACTATGTTGATAGTCGCAATTAGAAGCAAGATCATTTCAAGCTCATTTGTGAACCCTACTCAAATCTACAAAGTAGGCAATCGAGCCCCACTTTTCCGGAGTGTATCTGTTTCAGCACCAGGCTTGGGGTGCTTGTTTCCGTTCATGCTAGGGAATCTCACGCGGTACTACTATGAACCACCAGTAGCATGCAACATACGGAAAACCAATTGTAGGACATACGAGTCTTTATATGACATTCGATAAATAACTAGTCTTGGAGTACCAGCACCCCCGAGTTATTCGTACCGGTGGCCATATCATTCAATCATTCTAAAAGACAGCAGGCCAGTGCCAAATTCCATCACTAACCGCCAACTGGCATGCTGGCTGGGATAGCCCTAGTCACAACAAAGGGCTAATGAGTCACATGATACGTCCGACTTGGGACTAGCGCTCAATGAAATGAGCTAACCTTATCGGATTTAGCGGGAATTGCCATCGAGAGGAGAAATTCCTAACAAGGCAAAAGTTAAAAAAAAAGAGGGCCGCGCTTGAAGGGATCTTTGAGGCGCCCATATCTTTTTCTCCATAACATAGCTGTATAGCATTTTTTTTTTCTTTCTTTCTTCGGTTTTACCTGTCTTTCCCCTTGCACATTTCTCTCTTACTGTGCCTCTGCCTCTTCTTCCTTCTGTCTCATCGACTATCACCAAATTGACCGATCCGCAAATATGGCCGGAGAAGCAGACTCTGCTGCCATGACCACCAGCAGCGCTGATCGCATGGTAGGCATGGATCACGCTGAAGTGCGTTATTTCACGAGGTATGGCCAATATAAGAAGTCTTCTTCGCATCATTTATGCTGACAAAAATCACAGTTATGATCACCATGGTAAATACTATCAATGACCTAAGTAACTTTAGTCGGATGTGGCTAATCTCTGACCCCGCTCAGGCATTCATGAGGAGATGCTTGTAAGTACAACTTTACCACAACGCCTTGACTATCGCTAACCACCACTGGTTTTCTAGAAAGACGATGTTCGTACTAGATCGTACCGTGACTCTATCTACCAGAACCGTCACATCTTCAAGGACAAGGTCGTTCTCGATGTCGGTTGCGGAACTGGTATTCTCAGCATGTATGTTCAAGCCGATCGACTGGTCAACAACGGGATATTTCTAACACATTTGGTTCAAAAGGTTCGCCGCCAAGGCAGGTGCCAAGCATGTGATTGGTGTCGATATGTCGTCGATCATTGAGAAGGCTCGTGAGATTGTTGCTGTGAATGGCTTGTCGGACAAGATCACCCTGCTCCAGGGAAAGATGGAGGAGGTCGTCCTCCCTTATCCCAAGGTTGATATCATCATCTCCGAGTGGATGGGCTACTTCCTTCTCTATGAGAGCATGTTGGACACCGTTCTCTACGCCCGTGACCGTTACCTTGTTCCTGGCGGCAAGATCTTCCCCGACAAGGCCACCATGTACTTGGCTGCCATCGAGGATGGCGAGTACAAGGATGACAAGATTGGATGTAAGCACACTTCACTTGGCGCCACTATTTTCGATGAACTTGGGACGCTAACGGATCTTAGTCTGGGACAATGTGTATGGATTCAACTACAGCCCGATGAAGCAGATTGCCCTTACCGAGCCCCTTGTCGACACTGTCGAGATGAAGGCGCTCGTTACCGACCCTTGCCCCATCATCACCCTTGACCTTTACACTGTCACTCCGGCCGACTTGGTCTTCAAGGTACCCTTTTCGCTTCCTGCCAAGCGCAGTGACTTCATCCACGCAGTGATCGCTTGGTTCGATATTGAATTCGGCGCCTGCCACAAGCCCATCACCTTCTCCACCGGTCCCCATGCCAAATACACCCACTGGAAGCAGACCGTCTTCTATCTTCGCGATGTTCTGACCGTCGAGGAGGAGGAAGTTGTTTCCGGTGTTCTCGAGAACAAGCCGAACGATAAGAACAAGCGCGACCTTGACATCAGCATCTCCTACAAGTTCGAGACCACGGATCCGAACCGTTACTCCGAGGGCAGCTGCTTCTACAGGATGTGAGTAATCGTTCCTGTCAGAGTAACTCATCATGTGCTAACCCTCGCAGGTGCTAAATTCTTGGCCATCCCTTGTTTCTTCGGTTGCTTAGCTATTTTGCTTGGAGTCGATTTATGTTCACCAGTAACATAAAGTGGTTCTGCCCTGTGGGCAGCATAGCATTTTAACGGAAGTTCACTTGTATGGATGTCGGTCTGATGGAAGGTTATATTTTGGACTTCCTTTGATTTCAGTCATGCCATTTTTCATCATTTTTCTCGGCGTATACGGAAGGCAAGGCAACGGCATCATCAGTTGGCGCGGTACGGAGAGAAGATTTCCAAAGGACGATTATGAAGCTCCTCGAATTTCCCAAGTAGATACCCCGAGTCGACGCTCAGTCTCACACCTCCGACGTTCTGTCTATGCATTACTTAGCTTCAGGTCCATTAATCTCACGAAGTTCAACTAACCGGTTCACTACCACTGATGATTTCTTTTAAAGATAAGAAACAAAACTTAATGTACATTGAAAGGTAAGGCAGTCTCGTCACTGGTAGAAAACAATCAGTAATCGGATAGGGAATGTTCTCGGCCAAATCGGCTGATTCGTGATCGAGCCTCGGTTTGGCCGGAGCCCCGCAACCCTTCTGGGGGCCTTTCTCCGCATCAATCTATCTTTGACCTCCCAGATAAAGAAGCGTCCCCCGTAAGCCCTACCATTGTCCTTAATTGTGTTTGGTGGATTTAGCACATCTTTATAGACCTTCCATAATGTCAACCCCAGGAGCTGGTCATGAATTTCCTAGCCAGGAGGTGTCCTGGCTCAAGCGGGACGCTCTACTTTTTGCCTACAGTATCGGCTGCAAGGCCGATGAGCTGCATTTTCTCTACGTGAGTTCCATTCTATATACCTTATATCAACTACACATTTTTCTTACCGAGGTTCGCACAGGAGCTCCATCCGAACTTTGCGGTCTTTCCCACGTATCCTATAATTCTTCGTATGTATAATTTCCCGGTTCAGACCTACGGATTGAAGTATCGCGGTGTTTTAAGGATAATGTTCCGGATATGAACTCTCGGAGTGGAAAGCTTCTCAGCTGCATGGCATGCATTCCTCGCTAATAACGTATTCATTACAGCGTTTAAGCTCACTGATCAAGAAGTAACGGACTTCTATGCCCGTTCTGGTGGATCCCCTATCCCTGGTGTTCCAAAGTTCGACTATCGCCGCGTGGTTGACGGCCAGCGCAAGCTCACCATCCTTAAGCCGTTGCCTCCAACGAGCGAGGGTAGGAAGTTCGAGCTACGCAGCAAGGTCATTGGAGTTTATGACAAGGGCAAGCCTGGCACTGTCATCGAAACAGAACAGACTATTGTGGATAAGGAGACAGGCGAGATCTACTCCAGAACTGTTAGCAGCGGTTTCTTCGTTGGCCAGGGTAACTGGGGTGGACCGAAAGGTAAGGCTTCCAAAAGCACTTGTTATATCGAAGATTCTTGTTATTGACGCGGTGGATTCTAGGCCCCAGCAATGCCAACTACGCCCCACCTGAAGGCAAGCAGCCAGATGCCGTCTATGTAGTCCAAACGACTCCGGAGACAGCCCATCTCTATCGGTAAGATACCGCCCCAGCCACATAAGAGTACTAGCGTAGTGGACAAGGTGGATCCTCGAATGCTGACAATGATACCGCCGATTAGACTGAACGGAGACTACAATCCTCTACATGCTACTCCCGAGCCTGGTGAGAAGATGGGCTTCGGCGGCGCCATCGTCCATGGCCTCTTCAGCTGGAATTCCGCTGCCCATGGTGTCCTGCGAGAGCTCGGTGGTAGTGATCCGAAGAATCTCAAGGAGATTCAAGCGCGCTTTGCTTCGCCAGTTATACCTGGTGACAAGCTTATCACTGAAATCTGGAGGACGGGCAGTCTCCAAGATGGTTATGAAGAAATTCGATTCGTAACCAAGAATGGTAAGGGCAAGGCGGTCCTGAGCAACGGCCGCTGCCTGATGAAGGTTACCGGGCCGAAAAGCAAACTATGATTGGCAACTGAGGTCTAGTTAGAGAGTGTAGAGACCTGTCACCAGCTAGTCTTCTATTTAATAATCAGCAATGTTATGGATAGTCAATCATAAAATGGAGTTCATCGGCCATCTACTACGTGTACACTGGAATTAAAAGGAAAGATAAGATCAGAGTGGCGGGCCGAGGCCAAATTGACGGCTGCACGTGACGTGGGGCTTGATATGGGGTGACATTGCGGAGATCCATTGTTTCCCATCAATAATCCCCAGTTCGTGTTAAGTAAGATAGAAATGCACAGTGTGGCCAGACTCTCCTTCCTTAGGACACTAGGTTCCTTGAAGCACGCAAGGTATGACGCCCAAGGACTCTCTCACATACAGTGATGGTTGACCGAGGTACTAGCACATCGCGTGCCGTGTCATCATTTACCCCGAAATATGTTGGAGTGGTAAGAGGCAGATCACCGAATCCATTGAGAATAGCAATCTAATAAACGGGTGCACCATTTTCAAAGACCTACAAGTCATCGTCCGTCTCAACTCGATTCCCTTCGCTAGTACGCGCGAATTCATCAATTGCAAATGCCCAGGCCACACCCTCTAGCAGCGCTAACGAGGATCCCTGGCCTCTCCATCTAAGAAACCAAAAGTGGGAGTCGTTGCAGCTCGGTCATGAAGGTCAAGCCAGCAATTTGTAAGGACCCCTATTACACAATTATTTGTACCACATGCTAATATCAGACAGTGGGACGTTTTGGCTCCGGTGGGCATTCCAAAGGCTATAGAGTAGCGCATATGCACGATCAGTGACTTACTTATATCTAGGGACAATTGCCAATGTTCCAAATGCATTCATCCAGACACAAGACAACGAACTGTTGATACGTTTGCGGTGAGTCAGTAAGTTAATGTCTTGATCCGGATGGAGTTACTGATCATTATCTGATACAGATTCCTGATGATATCCGTGTCAAAGATCTCAGTTATGAAAAGGATGGTGTGAAGGTAGATTGTAAGCGAACATCATCCCATCATCTGACAGTAGACATTGACTTTGTCAAGGGTCGGACGGGCATCATGCCTATTATCCATTTCCGTGGCTCAAGAGCCATTCCAACAAGCCTGTTTCCAAGCTGGAACCGAAGTCAGAACTACATTTCAGGTACTTCAACCGTTAAGCTGCAGTGGCTACCCTTGCTGAAATACCGATGTGACTCAGAGAGATCAAGTCATACGTTCCGGGCAGAGACACGACATTTCCAACATTTTTTTACGCAGATATCATGGCCAACGATGGTGCTCTGTGTGACTGGCTTGAAGGAATTGTAAGCTATGACTCCATTGCTAACCAGGAAGTCTTGCTTACACTGCGAAGTACGACTGGGGATTTGCTTTTGTACAAGGAGTTCCTACCAACCCCGAATCAACTGAAGCTCTCCTAAAGAGAATTGCTTTCATCAGAAACACTCATTACGGTAAGGCAACATCCTTAGCCGTTACTGTGTCGATTTCTGACTCTCTCCCGTTTACAAGGTGGATTCTGGGATTTCACAGCCGACTTGACCTTCAAGGACACCGCATATACGACGGAGTTTCTTGGAGCACATACGGACAACACCTATTTCACCGATCCTGCGAGGCTCCAGCTATTTCACCTTCTATCCCACACCAATGGAGATGGCGGCGCCAGCCTGCTTGTTGACGGTTTCCGGGCTGCTTCGATTCTTCGGGAAGAGAGCCCGCAAGACTTCGAGGTTTTGTTGTCGACGAACCATCCTTACCACTCGAGTGGAAATGAGGACGTATGCGTGCAACCAGCGGAGCAAGCTCCAGTCCTCAAGGTTCACCCTGAACTACAACGGCTATATCAGATTCGCTGGAACAACTATGACAGAGCCGCCAAGAAGAACTGGAACTGGGAGGAACAGGTCAAGTGGTATACGGCCGCACGGCACTGGGACGAGATAATTCGTCGCAAAGACATGGAGATCTGGACACAGCTTGAACCAGGGACAGCCCTCAGTAAGTGTTGCAGGGAACGATGTTTGCGAACAGGACTAATTTCCCCAAGTTTTCGACAATTGGAGAATGCTTCACGGTCGCTCGGAATTTACAGGAAAGCGCAGGATGTGCGGTGGATATAGTAAGTATCCTTTACTGCTTTGAATTCCTTTTTCAGGATGTTTTGCTGGCCTTCCGTTACATGCTTCTTGTTATCGTATCCCTGTCCTAAAAAGCGACGGGCTGACACCGGACAGTAAATAATGACGACTTCATCTCACGATACCGTCTTCTTAAATTCGGTCGCGAGGAGGTCCTAAGAAACATCGGCAATGACCAGTGGTCCCTGGATAACCCCAACTACTACATTTGAACCTGTTCTTCCGTGGGGGTATGTGCAGGCAGCTGATAACTGTACATTGACATCAGTTGGTTGTTCTAGTGTACATATCCTAGATCCTTTGTAAATTTCAAGGCTTAGAAAAGCTCATTGAGCGTTGTTGGTAGTGTTTACCGAAGCGGACTCGCGCAAGCTATTTGTAATTGTATCACGTGACATAGGCAGGACAGCTGACGTTGTTTGGCCGGAGCTCAAGCATCACGACTCCAACACAGCTCAAGTTCCCCAACCCTTTCTCCCTAGGTCCATCACCTTCGACAAAACACACCCACCCCCCGATTCAGATACCATTTTCGCTCTTATTACGTTTTCAAACCTCATACGCCCGCACTCTAGTTTTCCACCATGTCGACCTTGGAAGACCTCGACGACCTTGAGCGTGAGCAGAGAGACAAGAAGAAGGACCAAGGAGATGACGGCGAAGGCAGGAAGCCCGAAGGTGAAGGGGATGCTGAGATGAAAGATGCCGATGCCAAGAAAGATGAGGATGATGGACTCTTGGACGAAGAGATCCTTAGCTCGAGCACAGCGGACATCGTCAAGCGACGGCGGATGCTGGAGAATGAGCTGCGTATAATGAAGAGCGAATACCAGCGCCTGACCCACGAGCAAAACACGATGCGGGAGAAAGTCAAGGATAACCAAGAAAAGATCGAGAACAACAGGTAAGCTCTGAGCCCCGTGGTCTTCGGTTCCGCTGGCGTCTGTTCGACGCGGTGGCAATTGCGGCGCAATTCGGGTCATTTACTGACTGTTTCTCTTGGTAGGCAATTACCCTACCTGGTCGGAAACGTCGTCGAGCTTTTGGATTTGGATGTTGAAGCTGAGGCTGCCGAGGAGGGGGCGAACATTGACCTTGATGCTACACGGGTGGGCAAGTCGGCTGTCATCAAGACGTCGACCCGCCAGACTATCTATCTCCCTCTCATTGGTCTAGTAGATCACGAGAAGTTGAAGCCTGGTGATCTCATTGGTGTCAACAAGGACTCATACCTCGTCCTGGATACGCTACCTGCCGAGTACGATAATCGTGTTAAGGCCATGGAGGTCGATGAGAAGCCGACGGAGAAGTACACCGACATTGGTGGCTTGGATAAGCAAATCGAGGAGATTGTGGAGGCTATCGTATGGCCTATGAAGGAGGCTGACAGGTTCAAGAAGCTTGGCATCAAGGCACCGAAAGGTATGTAATCCTTGGTTTCTCCAGCCTAGCACGGGCTTTCTGACACACTTCACAGGTGCTCTAATGTATGGACCTCCCGGTACGGGTAAGACACTTCTTGCCCGAGCCTGTGCAGCAGAGACGAACGCCACATTCCTCAAGCTCGCCGGTCCGCAGTTGGTGCAGATGTTCATCGGTGATGGTGCGAAACTTGTTCGTGACTGCTTCGCCCTTGCCAAGGAGAAGGCACCTTCCATTATCTTCATCGACGAACTGGATGCGGTCGGTACGAAGCGTTTCGACTCCGAGAAGTCCGGTGACCGTGAAGTGCAGCGAACCATGCTTGAACTGCTCAATCAGCTCGACGGATTTGCCTCGGACGATCGCATCAAGGTTCTCGCAGCCACGAACCGTGTCGACGTTCTCGATCCTGCCCTGCTCCGTTCCGGTCGTCTGGACCGCAAGATCGAGTTCCCGCTACCCAACGAGGAGGCGAGAGCCAACATCCTGCAGATCCACTCCCGCAAAATGGCCGTGGATGACCGGGTTAACTGGGCGGAACTGGCCCGCAGTACCGACGAGTTTGGCGGTGCTCAGCTGAAGGCTGTGTGCGTGGAGGCGGGTATGATTGCTCTCCGGAAGGGCATGAGCAAAGTAGGACACGAGAACTACGTGGATGCCATTTCGGAAGTACAGGCGAAGAAGAAGGACACGAACATGGGTATCTATGTCTAATTCGGTCATCGTCACGATTATCTACATGATCTCCGGGTCGTCATTATGCTATGTATCTACTCCTGCTGCAGCTTAGAGGATGCTATTAAATATGTTTCCCTTGGCTGAAGATGCTATTACCTCTTTCATTTTCTCGTAATTATGCTGCATAATCAAACCGTATTAAAAAGCTAAGCGTATTAGCCTCTCAGATGTTCAAAAATCGTATCAAGGAACTCTCTGGCACCTTATCCTATAGAATCCATGCTAAAGCAGGTCAGGTGATGAACCCGCCATGCATCTTCAACCGCAAGTTTCCTACACGCTCATCATCTCACCACCCGAGCCCTCCTCAAGTCTCAAGGATGCGTGCTTCCACATTTTGCCAACCTCACTTACAAAGCTAGCATCACTGGCACGTGCTAATCCTCTTCCCACTTTGTCCTGGTACATGTCGTTTCCGGGTGTGAGAAGAGGAAGGGCCAAGAAAAGCGGACGATGACAGCCACCAGAGACCGATCGGTCTGAGAACCTACTGACAAGCCAGTTCAACTAAGAATGAAATGATCAGCAAACGTACATGCAGTTTCTCTACTTTACTGATCCCGCCATAACACAGCCTAGGCCCACTTTTAGAACCAGACTGCAGGGCCCGTATTATTCTTGTCGACCTATGAAGTGTTACAAAGTCCGAAGATCATTACTAACGTAGAGTATGCGAGGTGAGGAACTCAATCCTTCTCTGTTGTATTGAAATTATGACTGATTGAAAGCTTAGGGGATCTGCATGGCTGTTTGGAGCCGATGTCATGGTGCCATACCCGGATGTCCATTCAAACGGCCCACTGTGTCTGTGTGCTATAACTGATGAGTAACGCCACTAAAGTTGCAGCCGGCGACCGAATTTGCTCAATGATATCATCTTCCTGGAAAGGTTGATAGGTGAAATGGGCGCAATACTTGGTGTGACTTGTGATTGGTGCCTCAAGTTGATAATTATCTTACACCTCTACGATTCTGGATCTAGGTGGCGTCGCGAAACCAGATGACCAGTTCAGCCGTCTCCTAAAGGTTATCCAGAGAGCGATGGTGAGCTCTGCCTTGCTGTGATAGAAAGCCACACGATGACGACAGTAGATCGTCGCGCAATCCTTGACCGGCGAGATAGCCAGTAGAAAGCAGCAGCACACAGACCTGGTCAGGCCTAGTGCCTGAGCATACATTGCTCGGAGAATATGGCCGTCAGTTACTGCGCTCTGTGGCTTGAAGTCCATGATCTGGTGGGTTAGAGTTTGCTGTGCCTTTAATATTTGACATGATTGAGTAGGACGGGACAAGTGCACCTCCACGGGGAACTGGATTACCCCTAAGAAGTACCTGCTCCTCCGACTTTGTGGGTGAGGGCTGCTTGTTCAGTTCGCTCGGGATGGAGCGGTATGGTTTGTGTCTAGCCAGGTCAACTCTCATAGGCCGTTCCGCGAGCTACCAACCCTGTCAATTCCCAGAGCTGTAAAGCTGCTCGCGTGACGTATGCTGACTACATTCAAACGCCTCTATCATTAAGATTTCTCATTTCTTATCTCACGCCGTTTCCAAACCGTTTGCTCTGAGCCTTCTGGACTCGTCAGCTCGCTCTGACCGCATCGATGAAGCTTCTGAGGACGGGTTATTCCGGATAATCACAGGATTCAATGTCTTTTTGTGGCTGAAGACTCCCTACAGTACGGGATGGTATTCGACCAATGGGTGCGGAGCACCATCGCCTCTCTCTTCTCATTCTACGGCGAAAAGCTCAAGGAGAGATAGATCACACTGGTCAACGTTTCAGCATTTTCCATCTTTCTTCACAATCCCTCGTTCCGCTGGCTATCCATCTGCTGTATGATACAATACATTTAGAACGCGATCCATATCTACGGTAGGTCCGCCATGAATTCTATGTGGCATTATACGTATTGCGAGGTCCTACAGCTGATTACGGAGCTGGCAGGCCTACTTGAGCCATCCAAGATACATATGGCGGCTTGAGCGGATAAAGAGAAAGTGCTAGAGGTAGAAAAAGGGCAGGAAGCGGTCTATACGAGAAATCCGGTAGGCTATGTCTCAGATTCTGTGTTTCCAGTCTTTACGCAGTAAGCAGCACTTAATGGTTTACTCGTCAAATCTTTCATTCCTTTTTTCTTTTCTTTCCCCGGGTTATCACGGATCGACCCAAAGCCTCAAGCTCAATATACTGGACATGGATAGCCTGTCATGGAGGCTTGGCTCCCGCATTCCTCGCTTGGACCAAAATCCCCTTTCCCTTCATCGATGCATCGTCTCTATCACACTATGCTCACTCTAGAGCTCTATGATATGACTATTCCCCCTTCGCTGGCTGACCAAATCTCCTAGAGCATCGCACCTCACCATACAAACGCTGCTGATATGATGGTTGCATGGCTGGTAGCGGTCCAAATCTGATGATAGCCTGGATACTCATCGGTTCACTCAGTCCCGGAGCGGACATCGCTTACCAGCCATTGAGCGTTCGACTGAGACTTAGTGTAACATACGCCGTGCCTTTTCCACACCAACTGCAAAGTTCAATAATACCGGTTAGCTCAACAACTCAGATCGGACGATCTATTTCGTCGAAGCGCTCTCGGCCCACTGCTGCTGCTCGGGTTTGCATGAGGAACAGGGCCAGTTGTGTTGGAGCGTTGAACCTTCAGAGGCCAACATGTCCGGTATCGTCTTTACGATGACGAAGGTTATGTTAAGCGAAGCGCCGTCACAGACCCTATTGATGCCAACACATCACTTCACGATTGCTGTGTATGCATCCGGGCTTGAGGGATGTGGTGGTCGGGGTGACATTTGGGAGGAGGAGGGGGGGGAGGGGTTGCCGCGTCGGAGGCGCACTCTCAAATGTGCCATTTTGCTTCCATCATGAGTGATCATCTAGTATAAGTAGAGAGTAGTCTGCGGCAATGCAAAGCTGCAAGACAATCATTGTCATAATACACAAGTCCTCTACCTCAGTTTCAGATTCCGTCAACTCAACCACTCTAGTTTATTATCTTACTTGACCTAGCACTTTTTCTCCTGTCAAGATGAGCCACCCCCAGCGCACCACCACCACTGCCACTGCTACTGCCACCTCCGCCGACCCCCTACCAAATCCCTCAACGGCCTCGACATCCGATGGTGCTTCAAACAAAGCTTTACGGATTCTGTTTGGCGTATTAAGACTCTATGAGGATTTCAAATCCGCAAAGGTCTTAGTTGTCGGAAAGGCGTGCACTTGGCACCATCTCAAAGACAGGTCACTAAAAGTATGAAAACCTTCTCCATTCGGTTACCCATCTCCGTCATCCCTAGCCATCTGATTGTAAAGCTTTCTCACTGTGGTGTAATAGAAAATCGAAATACTCGTCAACACAGATGTTCCGCCAGTTACGCTCCGGAGTTACCTCATATTCGACCGATCCGGATACTTTTCAATTTCGAGTTCTGGCGGCTGCTCTTTCAATATGAAACTGGGACGTTCCACTCTCATCCCTTGCACCTTGGACACTGTAACTTCACGGCAGCTGTCGCCCACAGCTAGGGACCTCGAACTTCGAATATACCGCCAGGCATTCGGGAGAGTTCACGAGCTGCAATATGTTCCGCAAGAGGAGTTTCCCTTTGTTGACCTCCCCTCCGTCATTTTGATGGAGGTCTTGTTGCCTTCAGAGCCTAAAACAATCATCGACTCCCCCCGGGTGTGGAAGTTAGCCCAAAGGCTTGATCCACAGTTTAGGTGGGAGGATTGGCAGAGGAACGCTCTGGAGGCGAGGCTGACAAGGCTCATAGATCTGGGAGGAAACGATGAGAAGAGGACGCGTGAAGAGTGGTGTGCGGTCCTCCATCTCCATACTGATGAGCTGGCAGACGGGGTGGAAGATGAGTCCACAGACGGAGAGGATGAGCTGGCAGACGGGGTAGAAGATAAGTCCACAGACAGAGAGGATAAGCTGGCAGACAGAATAAAAGATGAGTCTATGGACGGAGAGAATAAGCTGGCAGACAGAGTAAAAGATAAGTCCATGGACAGAGAGGATAAGCTAATAAACAGGATAGAAGATAACTCTATGAATAGAGAGGATAAGCTAGCAGACAGGGTAGAAGATGACTCCATAGACAGAGAAAATGAGCTGGCAGATAAAATAGAAGATAAGTCTATGGACAGAAAGGATAAACTAGCAGACAGGATAAAAAATAAGTCCATAAACAGAGAGGATGAGCTGGCAGACAGGGTGGAAGATGAGTCCATAAACAGAGAGGATGAGCTGGCAGACAGGGTGGAAGATGAGCCCCTTAAGAACAATCCCAATCCTTTGTCTCCCAATCTCCCTTTTTCCTATGTCATGCCCTGGCGTTCTTGGTGTGTTGGCTTTGGTGTAATGGCGTTCATCATTGTTCTCTATTTTCTTTTCCTTCGGGAAACCCAGGCTCCTGAGAAAAGGCACAATACATGGACGGAATGGGTGTTCATTATTATGTTAAGCTATTTGCCATGATGGCTAGCATACCAGCTTTTATTTGCATCAGAAATGTCACTCCTTGGTATACACATTTGTTTGCGACAAGGGAGCTTTCGCTGCCGTAGCTGAAAGACATTCCATTGCGATGTAGAGATCCGTCGGTTCCTCTGATACTTAGTTCTAGCAAAATGTAGAGGATGGACTCTATCTTGGTCTACATTGAACGTGGTTGTAGTAAGGACGTCTTCATGCGGAAAGTCCAGCCAGTCTGTGGATCGAGGTCGAGACCAGACAGTGGAGGTCTCTTGTTTTCAGGTGGGGATGTGGTCTCCACGGGGGAAAATATGCTCAAGTGTTTCACTTATAGGACGGCCATGTGCTATGCTATGGCATAGTCTAGTGGTAATTGCGAGAGGGGTTAACGGAGTAGGCGGGATTTAGTCCTAAACCATACACAGTAGGCTCAGGATGGGTAATACATAGGAGGATGCTTATCATGTGGACCCCTCGTGGTATTTGCCGATCCGAACCCATCACTAGATGGATGCATTTGGCCCAGGTGGATTGGCTAATGAGGAAGGAAAATTATTTAGTACCAGACAAATAATAGTACAATGTGAATAAGCAGTAGTATTTCAATCTTTGCAAACGATAACTGAAAAGTGGTACTTAACAAGTAGTGATCATTGGTTGGCCGATCTCGGGCCCGAGCAATTCTCCGCTAAGCCTCTTGCAGAGTTGGAGACAGGGAGAAGATTGCCCGACCAGGTATCAGGTCCGAAGTCCACAGAAAGCTGGACGTCGTATGATGACATCTTCGACTGCGTATCGTTCGCCGTCTTAGGTTGGGACTATATCGCCGCCAATGCCATCACCCATTGGGGGTGGTTGGCCTTGCTGTGTGCAGCTGCAAGGTCCAATTTCACAATATAGGAAGTAACATCCCCCCAAGGAGCGTCAAAATGTGCCCATGTGGCCTGTCCACACTTTGATAGCAGCAAGAGAGGGAAGATCAGATATCTTCTATGATAGAGTTTGTTAAACTTGGATGTTTGGCCGGAAAAGCACTGCCGAGCCCTACCTCAGTCAGACAGGAGAGAAATGCGTTTACCCCGTACAGACGAGGCGGTGGTTCCAAGGGCTTCAGTACTAGCATCTTCTGAGTAAGTATTATCGGTGGGGCTGGTAGCAGATACTAAGCCTCGGGACTTCCGAAGACGGCTTCCAGCACCGAAAGATGCTCACAGTACGTACACACGCCTTCCGAATCAAAAAACCGTCCTTGTGTTGAGGCATGTCAGCATATTTGTATGCCACCCTTCCTGGGTAGCTGCGGTGGAAGACAGATAAGAGCGTGCTGTTTGGTATTGTAGGCAAACCCATGGTGATGTCTCCACACTGACGGAGGGACATGAAAGGAAGAGATTATGGGAGCTTTACGACGCCTTGTTGGCGGTCACAGAGGCCGCCAGAGCCGCCAGCATGCTATCGTACTTCAAGTGCTCTTTTCATCCACCAGGGCTGAACGTTTGAAGTCAGTGGAGAATAAGACATGACGCTAGTCTAGTTGTTGAGTACGAGTACTAACTTGACTAGACTACTGCTTTCATTCTCATGGTATACAGTCAAAAAGTTGATGAATGAGACGGAATTGGCAGAGCGAACATTGCCACCTGACAGTGGAGTTAAAAAACGGGGCTCAACTGTGTTGACTCTCCGTCAGTCAAGTGGAAATATTCAACCAGGGGTGGCTGACATGGTGTTAGTGTATTCAAGTGTTGGGGATAGACTAGTTCGTTGGTGGTTCCCAGGCTCAGGTAAACGGGTGGCCCAGTGCACACCGGGCATGACCGTCTCCACTCCCCACCTCGCTTAGGCTCTCAACCCGTAGAGAGTAGATCTAGACTAGATAGATCTGATGGCCTATCTCCTAGTCAGCCCCACCGTACGAGATCTGCGTGGGAGGCCTTCTCTAGTACACCCTCTCTTGGATGGGTGTCTTTTGCCACCCCCCTCGGACTGACGAGGCCGTTGGAAAAAAGGTCCATTTACTTACTGTGTACACCGCAACCACTTACTAAGGGCTGGTTTTGCTAGCCAGCCAAGTTAGTTGTGAGATACTATGGAAATTATCCTGTTAGACGGCTGAGCTGTGCCGTGGCATCGCCTGTCAGCTAGTTGGCTAAGTGAACAGCCTATGGTTAATAAGCACTTGGTAACCAAGGTGGCGAGTGATGCTTTTACCAGATTAAGTTCAGATGAACACAACTAGACTTAATGAGGCAAGGAGGTGTGTCTATCCTTCGGACACCTTCGGCCGGGGCGTTTATCTGGTCAGCGGTGGGTTCTTTGCTATAATCGATTGAAATGAGTCAGTTTGGCTGTCCACATCTCCGTATTATCTTCCCAAAGATCGAGGCGTGCTGCGACGTTCGCGGTGGGATGAATTATCAGTCCAACGCTTATTTCCCCGGCGAATCATGCGGTCGAACGCCCTAGTTCCGACTCAGTACATAAAATCGTTGAGGATGCCTAATGCATGACTGGAATTACCATTAACGCTCCAGAATATGCCCGTCAAAGAAGATTCGCGCAACTCCGCGGATTTGAGAGTACGACTGGCTTGGCCAGCGGAATGGCCGTCATCAAGTAATGAAGACCCATACTATCCCGTTTTGGGGTACCAGTACTGTCGCTGTCTGTTCGCACCCTTAGACGAAAAGTATTTCGCTTTTTACTGAGTTGGGGAATGTGCACGACTCCAATACAACGCGCGGGCCAGGATGTGGCTCCTAATCTGTCCCATATAATCCGGTACTCTCAACAGGGAAGGGTGAAGGAAGGGTAAAAGATTTCATCATGCCATTTAGATATTTCTTTCAGGGTATCGAACCTAAAGATCTGCTCGACCCCGGGCTTAACCTTGTAATTGGTATTTTCATGCTCACCCAATTGTTGTCGGTAAACTAGGACCAGCTGGATCCACGTAATCTGATTCTGGTAATGATAGGTCAAGGCCTCCAATGTCCCACGTGGACCAAGGCTCCAAGAGGCTAAACGTGGAGTCCGGGTTTGTATCGGTCTCCCGTCCTGGCACGGGAAATGTGCTGAAATTCGGGAGTAGATCAGCTCCGGACATCGGCTCTTCAGCAAGGGTAACTGGGTGGGCTAATTCGTCGGATTGGTGATAATCAAGCACTTCTGCATATCTGCATGCTCTGTGTTAGGAGATGGTACGCATAGATTAAAGACACCGGGGAAACGTGCATCATAAGCTTGAGGGTCTCCTTGGAGAGTCGAGCGCCGTCGAACGACCAATCGAATGGTCTTTCGACGCTGGGCTCATCAGTAGGATCATGATATATCTGCAAATAGCGGTGCTCTAGAGCATTGCTGGCCGATATCCTGGCGTTTGGGTCGAAGACCAAGAACTTGTCGAGGAGGTCCACGGCTGTATTGCAAGTTTCGGTAAGTAGGGGAGTCCATCATCCATGCCTACACAGAACATCACATACCGGCTTCATCGACGCTCGAGAACATTGTCCTTAAACAGCGTGGCTGTCTATCCCCAAGTGACTTGACTATCTGTACCGTCTATCATTCAGGTGAGCATGGGACTGTCATAATGGTGGTTTCTCGAAACGTACGTTCTTGCTGCAAATTCGATCGATGACCTCATCAGGAGGGTTGCCCAAGAGGTCGATAATCAAGTAGAATTGATTGATATGGTCCTTCCCGGGAAACAAGGGCTTTCCAGAGAGCATCTCGGCGAGAATGCACCCGGTACTCCAGAGGTCCACCTCCACGCCGTATCTCTGCCATGTCAGCATGATTTCCGGTGCTCGATAATAGCGTGTAGACACATAGCCGGTCATCTGATGTTCCTTCACTCGTGCGAGCCCAAAATCGCATATTTTCAGGTCGCAATTCTCGTTCACCAGAATATTGCTAGGCTTGAGGTCTCGATGGATAACGCCGGCGGAGTGGATGTACTTCAGACCACGCTATGGAGGCTAAGTTAGTCATTTCTGGGCATTGGTACTCTGTTGGGGTTACCACTCCGCTGACTTACCAAGATCTGGTAGGTAAAGTATTGGACAAACTGGGGTTCCAGGGGTTTAGATCTCATCAACCGATTCAAATCCGTCGCAAGGAGTTCAGTCACTAAATATCTGAGAGGTGGTCAGTGTCAGTGTGATGGGATGGAGGGTTTGTGAGTACTCACATGTCCTCCAGTGGAGAGACAAAAATGTCACAAAGACCGATGAGCTGTAGATCGTCAGAATGAATAAGATGTCTTAAAGGAAGATGGATTGGACCTGTCATACATTCTCGTGTCGAAAATGCTTCAAGATTTTCACCTCCCGGAAGGTACGCTTTGCCACTGTGGCAGTCTCGAACGGCTTGATGACTTTTTTGATGGCGACTGCCTGTCCCGTAATCTGATCATGTGCCGAGCTGGATTGAAATGTCAGTCATACCCTCACTCACCCTCACTCACTCACAATTCCTCTCTCTCCCCCTTCCCAGCAGAAAACAAGAAAAAACAGGGCAGAGGCTACCAAACAAGGCCATACACCCCCAAGCCAATGGGTTGCAAGTTTCCATATCTACCCAACAGAGTTACGGTCAAGGTCAGCCTTATTCCTTAGCGTCAAGTTACTGCTAGCTGAACCTACCGCTTTGTAGACTCGAAGACCGTGCCTAGAAACTCGGAGCGGTTGAAGCCTTCCATGTTATCCGGAAAGTGTTCTGGGTTCGGAGGCAGAGAAAGAAGAGCAGATGAGCATTTATGATCATGACTGCAGTAGAACAATTATTATGCAGATTTATAAAACCACGGCCTGCCGTCTACAGTTCGGGATAAGCCCCAAATTGACAGAACCACCGAGCTTGAAGTCGTCCCCACCCTCCATCTCCGTGATAGGAGCCAGGGACCGGCCCCCATGAGGGGAGAGAGGGGGGACAGAGGCATGGAGCAAATCAAGGAACCTGGATCCTTGGGACACGATGTTCCCTGTTTTAGCCGGCTTTTCTCCTGACTGTCGTATGTACAGACGTGCTTTTGGCGCATAAGCGTCTTTGGCTACAGCTGGTGCTCCATGGTTGAGAGGGTGGGTCGACGGGCGAGACGGAGTCAGCCGTCTAAATTCAACTGCTGTCTCTGCTACCGGAAGCATTACCCGGCAGCCGCGCGAAAGATTGTCTTTTCTGTCTAGTCACTGACTGTACACGTGGTGATGGAGCCGTTGTTTGTCTCCAAGTCTGCTATGGATTGGTATGAACCCTGTGTCTGGCCCGTTCGAAAAGAGGAGCACTGGGCGCCAACCACCTTTAGCACCCACCCAAACGAGTAATCACCACGGACCATCCCTTGCCAATTCTGATTCCAATCTCTATCTTTGTCCAACCTTCAAGTCTACCAGAACATATGATCTAGGGCAGTCCTATATTCACGGTCAGTGTGTTAAATCTCGGTCAGCAGCCCGCTCGAGCAACGCGATAGGCAGAGAGTCCCTAGTCAATCTACTTAAGATATTATCTAAATCTCCAACAGCATCTGATCGGAATCTGTCTTCCGCGTTTGCCACCCTGCCACGTAAACTTAAGCGCCTGTGGCAATGGCCAGTGGAGACTCCAGGATACTAGCAGTAGTTTCCTAGCAAGGATCATCAATGGGGAGCCCAGAAGATAAGCAAGCAGAACAGAGTTGTATTCTGGTAACTTGTTCAAGATTTTTGAAGCGCTTTTTGAGTGCTTCTGGTTTGTTCGTGGGTTGCTTTTTGCAGGGGTTAGCACAGTGTGTACTGTGGTGAGACGGCAAGGAATAGGATTAGGGTTTGAATAACAACAAGGGCTGGTTTAGTACTTCCTAATCACTTGTTACGACAATGTCAGGCACAGAAAGAGTTTGGTGAAGAGTCTCCAAGGTAAGGAGCGAACAAGAAGCACAACTTCCCTTGGCGTACTTTTGTTATGGTCTTGATACGTGCAGAGATGACAGGGAGTGTGAGAGGACTGCCGACTACTTCCAAGCAGGCTCTGAGCCATTTCATGCAAGAGTACGCGGTAATTCAGAGTTAAGCCAAAGTTAATCATGATGTCGTCCATTTTTAGGAGTACTAATGAATACGACAACCCCGAAAACCTTGATAGACCCTAGTTATGCCTGCCATGATCACCAAGCCCCAAGTGCGGATATATTTTCCGGTCCTCACCAATTATCTCATGCCACAGTTGCTTATTTTAATACATACACCTTCTAGTAGATCAGATATAATAGATTCTGGTGTATTAGCCGCTCGCTTGGCGGATTTAGTGAGCAGGTACCTTTGTAACATTACGTCAAGGCAGGGCCAGAAATGTCTGCGTCGCGCAGCTATGTGTTCAGTACAAAGTTGTATCTCTGACCGGGAAGGCGCTACAGCTGAAGTGATATAGTAGTGCATACAACATCCATTTGTTATTTAGCATATGCCATTCGATTCTCTACTTGTCTCATCCTTTTATTTTTGTTTTTCTTCTGACTTCTTACTAAGAAGCTGTGGAAGTGGGTTTCATTACTTTCTCTTCAGGGACAATCCAGGAAAAGGAAGTGTACTCCTAACAAAGGATAGACGCAAAGGGAAGGGCATCTGGATCACTAATTTCTAGAAAACAACCTGGTAAGTAATCATGCCCTATATTAAAATGATATATTTGATTTCTGAAGCCTAAGCTCACCCCATCTAGCCCCTCTGTTCGATAAGCTCTCGATGGAACCATCTTCTGGTGGGAAGAGCGGAAAGGAGGAAGGTATCGTGGGTAAGTGAAAGATCGACTCTGGAATTAACGGGACATGATCTCAGCAATCCAATCTTCGTATAACCACACACTTCTGTACTCCTTGACTTTCTTCTTATACTTTTTGTGATTGAACGGGTAAATGGGATCTGGCATAGAACCAGCTTCCTGCCATTCTTCCCACAAGCTGTCCATCAACAAGTGCTTGTAGTTTAATGTGTTACGCCAGTCCGCTTCCTCTATATATAAGGCGCGAAAAGGTGCTTGAATGAGGTCAATATGAAAAAGTTCCGGAGGAAGTAGTCTTGCAAGTCGTGCATGAAACTTCACAACATGATGGTACCAGCGTTCGTCAAATTTTCGAACTACACTCAAATCTCTGATATGCAGGCTAAACAATGACTCTATCCATCGCGCCGGAGTGAGCAGCTTTATGGGATAGAAGGAGTTGCCATAACCATCCATATCCCAATCAGGAAGCCGGCGGTCTGTAGAGAGGATGAAATTAGGGTCATTGGGCTCAGGAAATTCAAGGGGAAGATCGGGCATGAGCCAGAGCCACTGGGACTTCCGGAGCAGACCGACAGGGTAGCACAACTCGAAGTCTAAATAGCGATGGAAGTGTCTGGCAGACCACGGGAGCGGAAAGGGGTTTAAACGGTGAGTTGGGTTTTCAGCCCAGAAGCAATGATCAGGACAAGGATCCTCGGACAAACCAGCAACTCGCAACGCTCGTATAGCGGCATCCAGGCGATCGTCTGGAACCACGAAGCAAATTGAAATAGACTATTGTCGATCAGTTAGCCTTGTTCATATTCTTTCTCAGTCTATTATATGGTTGGTTTGCCTTACAATATCCCTGTCCACTTGCTGGTAATGCACGTTCATCAAATCTCCGCAGGCCACATAGGGAATCTTAGCATGATCCAATAACTTGGCTATCTGAGATCCCCAATTGAGCCAATCTGCACTATCGTACTCAGGGGTCGGGAACATTGGTTTCCAACCCATCTTGAATATGAGACAAGGGTGGTGTAGTGGTGTTGAAGAGTAACTATCCCAATCAGTTTCAGACGCTGGTCATTTCGGGTTGTAGTTCGTTCACTCGCTGCTGGATGCCATGACCTCTTGCGTCTATTTATGAATGGGGTTGGTGATGGATTTATGTCCCAGCGTGCCTAAAGCTAGTCATCCATATTCATGAATTTTACATCGATGTACATGGACTTTCCGAGTTCCTTCTGCTTGTTTCATTCCATTTGGCTTGATGGAAACTCTTCCTCTGTTGAAAAGCCATTGCCTCAACTTGTGCCTTGAATGGTAGGTGCAGCAGTCGCATCCAAGATGTCGGGGGATCCCTACTGATCTACTGCTGTGCAGACGTGAATGGCCATCAGCAGTACCTGCTCTCAGATCAGCAGCACATGAAAGCAATAGCATAAAGTATGCACAAGCCTTTATCTTGTGTCCCAGTAGATATGCAGTGGGTGTTCCCAGCCATCAATGTGGAATTGTGAGAACAAGTCACGGCCCTGTCTTTACATATTCGTATAGTAGACGCACACTCCCTCTTTACCTCGCCCTTGATTCTCTTCTCATGGCAGCCCAGACGGGAATAGAAGAAGGGAAAGCGTCATAACCATCTGGAGATTCCAACATGTGCCACTTTCATCATATCACGAAATAAGTTATTCGAACTGTGAGTACATGAATCAAGCTAAGCTCTTGCTGTTTGTGTGCATCCAAGACTGGACGTTCGCATGACCAAAGACATACAACGGCTCTAAAATAAGGTTTCTGAATGTTTATGTCGCGAATGTCCGAAAGAATGTGAAAAGTAATAAGACAAACATGTTGGATTGCGGCTTTAGATCGTCATCGCGTCAAGGGTGGCTGGATTATCCGTGAGGTAAGTAGATGGAAGAACATGCAATCATCGAGAAGGTTTGAGGGGCTTGAACCAAATAGAAGGGCTGCGTAAGAAACTTCCGAATTTAAAGAAGAGACAAAAATAATAAACATACATAAGATAATCAGGTCTGACCGAGAAAGAAGACTACGTTGAAGTGGATGATGGTGCGAGATCGATCCGCGTCCGAAAACAACGGGAAAAAAAAGAATGGGGCAAGCCGGGCTTGAACCGGCCACCTTCAGATTTACAGAGACATCCTTTCGGACGAAGCCTGTGGGCCGAAGTTAAAGCTTCAGTCTGACGCGCTCCCAGATGCGCCATTGCCCCGATTATGTGAAATACTATAAATTTTTACTACTCTTGTAGGCCCTTTTGCAAATGTCAAAGTATACATTATGCAGCGAATCCGACCGCTGAGTGTGAAGCTTTCGCACTATATGTTATTTTTTCGTATTTTTGATATTATATGATTACTTTTAGCATACTATAATGGTGTTATTTATGGGTAATTGCGATTTGGAGTTGGCTGGCACGGCTGTATACTGATGCATTTACTGACATATTATCGTTAGGCGCCGTCGACCGTCTGCGACTAATGGTACTTGCACCGAAATCGATATGATGACATTGACATGCATCTAACTGTTGAACTTGACTAGAATGTATCTTTTCGAGTTTACTGTATTGCAACTGATGCAGATATGCCCCGTACGCAAACACCTAGACTGCTCGTTCCATGCTCCGTTCTTCGGAAGCCATGGAGTTGATTATGAAACATCCCAACTGAAACAATCAGGCTCTGCAACATGTTAAACAAAACCACGTACTGCTCATCACTTCACTTCATGGTATATCTGTCTACCATGCCTCCAAAGCAAGTACTCAACTGCGTCTTACTTTCTACATCCACCTCAGCCTCAAGAAGCTCCCGAACCGGCGAGATCCGCTCTGCAATATCACCCACCAACGCGACTGCTTCGAGTCTTCAACACTTGTCCTTCCCTGACATACTTCAAGGTAAACTATTCCCCACCATTGGGTCTGAACATTGTCTTTGAATGGATAATACTGTAACCTTCACAAGAAAGGAATCTTCCCTCAACAGCATACAGCCAACCAACCAACTAAGCAATTACATAATCAACCAGAAACTCTCATGAACACTGACTAACCGCATACAGCTAGCGCAATCTACAACAACCCCACAACCATCTCCTCCCACAATATGCAAATTATCCACAGTCAAAAAAACATAGAGGAACAGGAAAACAAAATAAAATAAAAAAGGATGGGGCAAGCCGGGCTTGAACCGGCCACCTCCAGATCTTCAGTCTGACGCGCTCCCAGATGCGCCATTGCCCCTTGATTGGTGATCATTGACCAGGGTTTTGACTATATGAGGGAAGCGTACACGTTAACGGTTAGAGATGCTTACAACAGGCATATGGAGTACATCGATCGATCGACTCATGCCTGTAACTT